AGGCAGTCATATTTTGATATGAATTAAAGGTCTGCCATATCATGTAAGGATTTCTGAAATATAACCTTAATGTGAACAATATCAGTATTTTCTTCTTAAAGTATTTTTACTTCAAACATTCCTATGCAAATAAATTAAGTACTGTGGCATCAATTTTAAAACAATCTTTTGAAAAGACTATTCAAATTTCTTAAGTGATCCTGGACATTAGCAGAAACACACACACTCAACTTGGAAGTCAATAATTCTTTTCACTGACTAAAAAAAGCTGTCCTTGGGCACAGCAAAGTGATGAAAACTCACTACAAAAGCAATTTTGACAAATTATATAATAATTACTGTCCCCTGATTATTATGTGTGTCAAAACTACCTTACTTGCAAGACTCAGTAAATTATACTTTTGTAAATTAAGATGTTCAGTTTTTAAAAGCTGGCACCAATGAAGCATTTGTTCTAAAAGAAATCTAGAGGCAAACTAAACGTTCATCAATAAAATAGTTAAATTCAATATAGTACTTGTTCAAGTTTACAGACAAGAAAAGAGCTCTATATGAAAAGATTTCATGATAAAACACTAAATAAGAATGTTGCAAGCTAACCCACATATGTGATTCCATTTTTTAAAAAGTAAAACTAAGCATAGAAATAGTGGTAAAATAGATATTTTACATATACTTAACACGAAAAAATATAAGAAGATACCAAAGCGGTATCTAAGGCTTGGTGATGAAATCCTCCACTTTTTCTTTTTTACACGTATGCATTTCTGTATTGTTTATGTGGTTTTTATCAAAATGATAAACTACTTATGTAATTTTTAAAGACCAGTAATATTTTCTAAACCAAGTAAATGAAAACTAAAAAGCAGAGAGAGGTATAAAAATTAAACTTTGGATGACATAAGTAAATAAACAATGGCAATACATAAACTTTGAGGAGGCGTCTATGGCCATGCCATCCTGAACAAGCCCGATCCTGTCTGATCTTGGAAGCTAAGCAGGGTCAGGCCTGGTTAGTACTTGGATGAGAGATCACTTAGGAAGACCAGGTGCTGTAGGCATAAAAATAAAAATAAAAAATAAGGAATTGTAAGCTGTCAAGGTCCTTGCAATCTGTGAGGTCAACCAAGGGTTGCCTCGCCAAAAAAAAAAAAAACTTCGAGGAAACGAATTGTACTTCCCAATTTCAGACATTATGACTTAAGATTTTTTTATGATTTACCATTTTTGTCATATCTGAATGCTCTTAATGGTTTGGTTTAAATCAACTATCTTAAAAAAAAATTAATTAATTTAATCTTATCCCAATAAAATCTATGTAATCAAAGCTCACTATTTCAGGATATTTTTTCTCAAAACACTTTAAAAAACTTAACATAGGATGTACTCCCTATATGAGCTCAAACAGATTTGAGATAAAAAGAGATATCTTGGCTAAAATAAATACAAAGTTGATTCCTGTTCCACCTAAATCATCTCTCTAGGATACTACTAGCCTACTCTATTGCAAGTACACGTTATATCAATACTTACTAGTATACAAGAATTCCATTTCAAAAGTTACTAATAAAATTTCTTAAAAAGCTTATACTGTTTTACATATTAAAATATATATTAAAGAATGTATTATGATGTCTATTTTTTTCAGTCAAGGAGACTTGATTTAATTTTCTTATTTATCTTTTTACATTTTAATCCACAAACAACTTACGCTAGTCAAATACAGTTGTATAAATTAATCTATTAAGTGATATCAAATATTTATACAATTTATTTGGTAATAATGACTTACAGATCGGCTAGCAATAACTCCAGTATCATAAATGAAGGAATTGTTTCAGAGGTTGCATGTGCTGCTCTCTAAAACTGCAGCACTGAGTGCTCTCCTAGATGATACACATATTTTATTAGCCATTATACAATACTTAAGAATAGACAAGTAATGGAGAAACCTATTTGCAACTTGCATATAACAAATGATTATTATCTTTAATAAATATAAAGTGTTTGCACATCTAGGAACGATTAGAAGCCCAATGGAAAAATAGGAAAAGAACATAAGTAGGCATTTTACAAGTGGAAACGCAAATGGACAATATGAAAAATTGTTTAATGATTTCTACTAACCAAATTCGTGTTAACTAAAACATCTCTTTTTCCTCATCAAATTGACAAAGATGGAAAGGGGAACAACCCAACACTGGCACAGACATAGTACAACCTTTCTGGTGGGCACGCTGGAAAGCAATTTCACTTCTGGAAATTTGTCCTAAAGAAATAATCTGATACACAAAAATCTGAAAAGGAAAAGCTGTCCTCTTAAGTATTATGAATAAATGTTTAAAAATCTGAAAAACAAAAATATCTAACAAAAGAGGATTGTTTAAAAACACATTGGTACTTCACGTACATCTTGGAAGACTATGCAAAAAAAGATGATAGTCTTAAATCTGAAAAAGATGGTCTATACATAATCCAGATTGCAAAATAATATCTACAATCTCATTTTTATAAAGTGTATAAGCACATTCATTAAAAAGGTCCAGAATAGGAGATGGATGGCACTTTTTCTGTAAATGGACAAATAATAAATATTTTAGGTTTGTAGGTCATACGATCTGTCACAACTAACTCAACTCTGCCCGTGTAATGAAAAAAGTAGTCATAGACCATATGTAAATAAGTATGGCTGGATTAAAAAAATCATTTATGGACATTAAATTCGAATTTCATATAATTTTCACACATCACAAAACAGTCTTAAATTTTTTTTCCACCCTCTTAGAAATGTAAAAAACATTCTTATCTCACAGTTCATACAAAAGCAGACCTTGGGCCAGTTTAGGCTCTTGGGCCATAGTTTGCCAACCCTTGGTCTAGGACAGATACTAAAGCATCATCAGTGGTTTACCCTTGATGGAATTAGTGTCATTTTGTTGCTTATCTAATTAGTGTAATTTGTATCAATGGTACACAATAAACATAAAGTAGCTGAGCAGTAGTTAACATTTCAAAGAGCAGTGTATAATACTCATCACCAAGACTGCCTAAGAAAACAAACCTGTAGAAAATGAAGTTTACCAGCATTTCAAAACCTACTGTACCATGCTGTCTTTTCTTCTTTTTCAGACTTTTTTCTCCGTTCCTTTCCTTATATTCATAAATTCACCAGTTACCCACATCTATTTTCCTTTATGTTCATCAGGTCAACTCACTAATCTTTTTACATTTCAGGTGAGATGGCTGTGATCATGTCACTTCTTTGCTCAAGTTTAAACACCCTAAACTTGGCTCTCAAGTTCCTTCACAAGTGAGTCTAACCTTACTTGCAGACTTCTGAATTACTCGCCTATAGCAGGAATCCTGAACTCCAATTTAACAAGTCTTTAGTCCTCTGAATAAGACCAGCTGTTTATAGTTCTTTATTTCTCTAACACTGTTTGGATGAAGATTGTTTTAGAGGGTTGAGAAGATCAAAGATACAGATGAAAGTATTCGGGATAAACAGCCAATATACACAATAAGTGCCAAAAGAGATAGAGACTATTCACTGATGTGTATTTTTTTCCTTTTCTATTCCCCTTTAACTGGCATATACTATAGAAAAAAAATTAACACTTACTGAACTACACTTCTATCCTTTGCTCCTAACTTTAAATTCAATTGTATTAACGTTTTACTGTTTCAAAAAGCCAAAAATACCTATACTATTGTACTCATATAAATTTCAAGGATTTTTCTCCATTATGTATTCGTATCTCAACAGAAATAATTTCCCACAGCAGTTAAATTTGTTCCACAATTCTTAGGACATTCAATTATGTTTAAAAGAGCAAGGACTCTGCAGTGACTCAGGGTTAGGATCCGAAATCCCAGGTGTGCCAAATTAATTTCTCTAAGCCCCTTTCCTTTATCTGTAAAATGGAATACCTACTTCACACAGCTGTTGTAAAAATTAAACTGACAGGTGGAAACAATTTTAAAGTGCTGTATATATTAACAACTCCATAAATAGAAATTATCAATGCTCTTATTACTGCTCAAAACCAGTAACGCTGCTGCCGAGACAAGATTATTTGATACCTGTTTTTCAGTGATTCTGTAGTGAAACAGCACAGTCGAACTCCCTACATTCTTGTAGCAAACTAAATTAGCGTCGTCCACACTTGAACATGTACCTTACTTTACGCAACCACTCTAGAAAGTAAACGAATGGAAAAGCATGGCAAAGCCGTACGGATTTGTAGAAGAGACGGAATATGTCTAGGATTCACTTCAAATTAACTCAGGGAGGAGGAGAAAGCCCGGCCACGTACCGGTAATCGCTGAAACTGGGTGATAGGTACACCGACTTACACACTCCTCTCGACCTCTGCATAGCTTGAAATTTTCCAAAACGAAAAGTGTTTTTAAATGTCCAAAGGTCGACCTTTTCTTTGGGGCTTAATGCAAATCCTATCATGATCAGGAAAATGCATTGGGAAGTTCTGAGAGGCGAAAAAGCAACACTAGCCAGGTGAGGCTGCTTAAACGTCCCGGGCAGACCCGCAGCGCGCTCCTCCCCGCCGAAGCCCCGAGGCCGGGGGCGGGGGCGCCGCCGCCGAGTCCCGCCCGCCTAGTCCTGGGAAGGAGAGCAACACCCAAGGGAACGGCCGCGAAGCGCCCGCGGGACGGACCGCAGGGCGGGGGAGGGGCGGACATGGGCTAAGCAGGTGGGTGGTGAGTCCCAGCCTTCAGGGCAATTCCGTCCACTTCCCTCCGCCCCGCCAAAGCTCCAGCCCCACCAGGGCCCTCAGCCGCCCCGAGAACCTCTCCGCCTGCCCTCAGCAGCGGCGCGGCCACCCAACGGCCCATGAAGCCCTCCGGCCTCCCCGCAAGCCCGAACCGGGCTCCTTCAAACTCTGCCCGGACTGTTACCAGGGTGCCCCGTCGCCGTCAGGCTCAGGGGCACCTCCTCGACTCCACGCCAACCGCTTTCCCGAGTCCACAGACTTACTTACCTCAGCCGCGCGGCAGCGAGGCGTCTTCCTCAGCTACTCAGGCGTCCAGCTTGGCGGTCCCGGGGCGTTGCTGCCAATCATTCAATCTCCGCCCCGAACACCAGACCAGACTAACCAATCAGCTGTTTCCTCTGGCCCGGAGGCGGGCACTGAGATCGCGGAGCGGAAGGCTAGGCACCGCCCCACGTGCCGGCTGCCGCCTCTCGCAGCCAGTGTGCGCAGGCGCGGGGCTCGCTCTGTTGCGTTCGCTTTCGCTAGCACCTCGTTTTGTGGCCTCGCTGCTCCGCCCAGAAAGTACTTTGTTTGTAAACCTCATGCTCTAGGTGTGCAGGAAGACCCACATTCTGAATGTAGCCTAAAGAGTGTATTACCTTGAAAGAAGCTGTGAGTTTTAAGCCCTTGTTAACCTAACATACGTTGAGCCCTTTTGTCCCACGCTGTAGGACTTGTGCTCACGCGGCGGGTCTGCTTCTGAGGACCTTATATCTGGGTTATGTTTGTGGTTAGGGAAAGTGAGGATGCGGTGTCATACAAAGTGCCTGATGGATGAGGTTTTTACTTTACCATCTTCAGTTCCAGCATCTGTTTACTCTGATTCTGATTCGTTGGGAGACGTGTTTTTTAATAGTTGAATATTCTAGGACATTATGGATTTCAAATATTCCTGTGGGGAAAATATGTTCATTCCATTTATAGTGAACAATATATTCAGCATGGTAAAATGTGTAGGCATGATAAAAGATTCATATGTAGAGTAAGAAACCAGTCAGTATTTCTGTAGGACCTTTCAAGAGCCTGTTGCTGATTGGCTGTCTCACTTACCCTCCCAGTGTAATTAATCCCAGAGATCATTGGGCAGGCACCCGAGCTCTGATGTTCTTGTTCCAGTTGCCAAAGTCTGCCTGGCGAGGGCTTTCCTCCTTCAGCAAAAGTATTAATTCATTTACCCAACAAGAGCTTTTGGAGGGCCCACTATGACAATACAAAGATTTTTTAAAGCCTTGAACCACACCCTCAGTGTGCCTACAGGCTAACAGAGATAGAAATACAAAGTTCACGTACATAATCAAAAGTTATAAGGAAAGCATGGAGGGATCCTAGGAACTAAGCCTGCCTGGTGGCTCAGGGAACACATCAGAGAGGAGTGAGTGCTAGATTTAGGTATTGGGTGATCTCATTGCTACTGGGTGATCTCGTGGATCACTGTCATTGAATCTAACCTCTCTTAGCAGGCAGAGCTAGGAAATATATTACAACTCCTTTTTAACTCTTCGTTTATATCTCTGTGATAGGCAACCTGGAAGATGGCCCCCAGTGATCCCTGCCTCCTGATATTCAGGCCCTTGTGTAATCCCCTCTTGGAGAGTGGTTTAGACCTAGTGTTTTCCTTCTAATGAATAGAATACAGCAAGAGTGATAGGATGCCATTTCCAAGATTAGGTTACAAAAAAGATTGTGGCTTCCATCTTGCTTGCTCTCTCTTGGTCTCTCCTTCTCTTGAGAGATATCAGCCATTATATTGTGAGCTGCCCTAAGGAGAGGCCCATATGGCAAGAAGCTGGGGGATGCCTCTAGCCAACAGCCAGTAAGGAACTAAGGTCCTCTTGTCCGTCAACCTGCTAACAGCCGTGTAAGTGAAATTGGCAAAAGATCCTCTCCCAGTTGAGCCTTCAGATGACTGCAGCCCTACTGACACCTTGATTGCAGCCTGTGGGAGACCCTGAGCCTGAGATACCCAGCTAAGCTGCACATGGATCCCTCAGACACAGAAGCTTTGAGATAATAAATGATTGTTGTGGTACGCTTCTACTTTTTTAGTAATTTGTTAGGAAGCAATGGATAACTAATATGATCTGTCTTCTCCCTAAGGTCAATGGTTCTTAAATTTACTTTGGAGCTCGTTTAAAAATACATACTTCCCAGAATCTTAGGTGATTGTTCTGCATGGCTAAATTTGGAAACTAATGTAGAAGGTTACACAGCAAACCATTTGGGGATTTTAGAAGAAAATAGACTTCTTTTTTTCCTTTTTAGTGTATCTGATCCTGGAGTTTTTTACCCAGATTAATGGCACAGCTTTCTTGGCAGAATCCAGAATGACTGAAACTTTATCTGCTATTTGGAGTATTTATTAAATAGAGAAGAAAGGATCAGAGCTTTCACTCACTTGCGGCCTTGAAAAAGTCCCTTGACCTTTCTATGCTTCCAGATTCCTAACAGGAAATTAAAAGATTATAATGTCATTATTTAAGTAACAGATTTGTTCATTATTAAGTGTATAGCAGGCAGTATATTAGGTGACCAAGGCCAGTTGTGGGCCAGCTTCCTTGTAGAGATTTAACAAAAGTTCAGATTGTCATTTGTTCATGTTGGTAGATGGTGAAGCTGAATTCTGTTGCAGAAAGGATGTGGGTTTTCAAGTCAGATAGACCCATATTTAAAATATGCCTCTGCCTTCCAGGGACTATACCATTTCTTTCTATAAACACACTTGGGATAGACCCTGACTTGCAGAGCTTTTTAAAATGTTTTTAAATTATATTTTGTTTTTTAAATTGCAATTATGGAAAATGTCAAACATACACAAAAGTAAAAAGCATATACAATGAATTCTCATGTATCTATCATACAGCTTCAGCAATCAGCAGCTCATAGTTACTGGTTTCACCATACCTTTTCCAGGCCTCTCGATTCTTTTTGTTTGTTTGTTTGTTTGTTTGTTTTGGAAGTGCTAGGGGATGAACTCTGGGATTCTTTTGAAGCTCTCAGGCATGTCATCTCAACCATAAATATTTCAGTGTGTATCACTAAAAGTTAAAGGGTCTTTTTAAAAACACATAACTATAATCTCATTATCAGGCCTAAAACATTGATAATTGTTTCTCAGTATCATCAATTCAATGTTCAAATTTACCTGGATATCTCATTAATTTTTTATTTTTTACTGTTGGTTTCTTTGAACTAGAATCTTAAAAAGAGCCACACATTATATTTGGTGGACATACCTCTGAAATCTATTTTAATCTACATGATCCCCCTCCCCCACCTTTTTGTTTTGTTTTGTTTTGATGAAGAAACTGAGATTTTTATCCTGTAGAAATTTCCCATATTCTGGATTTTGCCTATTACATTCCTATGGTGACATTTAACACATTCTTTTGTCTCCTTTTATTTTCTGAAAACTGGTAGTTCTAAAGATTTGATCTGATTCAGGTTCAGTTTTTGGCTAGAATACTTCATAGGCAATGGTCTGCATCAGAAGCTATATAATGGTCATGTGTTTTTCTTTATAACATTATCAGCTGTTAGTGATCATTGCCTAGGTCCATGACCTCATGAAGAGTTTGCAAAATGGTGATATTCTGTCATTTTTTTTTTTCAGTTATTAGCTAATTGGTTACCTTGAGGAATGTTTGTAAAGGAAAGCAAGTTGAATGCTCGTTTCTTAATACTTACCAATTTTCAGAATAAGTATTGTACATCAATTATTTTGTTACCCAAGGTGTAATACATATAAGAAAGGCAAGTTTAATGCTTAGTTTGATTCTCTTTATTTACCAGTTTTCAGGAAAATTGAGTTGGTTCTTTCAAATTCTCTACAGTGATTTTTCTTTTCTTTACTTTCCCCCCGCCCCCAGGATCAGTAAGCACTCATTATTTTATCATTATAAATTAGTGTTTATCAGATATTTTCTTGATAGCAGACTCTTGCACAGAGAGAAGCGGGACTAAATGTACATTTATGGAACATCTTCTAGGCACTGGGCTAGGTGCTCTCACATTACTTAATTACCACAGCAGTCTTGGAAGTAGGTGCCATGGTATCTGTTTTTTAAAGAAGACTGAGGCCCTCAGTAGCAGAGAGGCAAGTACAAAGTCATACAGCCAGCAAGTGGTCAAACTCAGACTTGTCTGATCCACGTGGCAACATGTAGCTTTTTTGAGTGAGGTCCTACAGACACTGACTCACTAAGTAGGGCTCACTGGTTACTGCACCAGCCTCCTATCTTACCTCTTATCATATATCCTCCTCAGGCATTACTGTTTTGTGACTCTAAGTTTGTCACTCTCATACTTGAAAAGCAGTTTCCCTGGAACTGGTGAATACCCTTCTGCCTTATAACCTAACACATAGATTTTTGCTGAACACATTTTATTACATTTACACATATGATTTCACTTAATGCAAATTTATCATGTTACATATAAAACTATATTTACACCCTCCCCCTGCCCCCCAGTCTCGCAGATCTTATCCTACTCATTCAGGTATATATGCTGAAAACCTAGATTGTATCTTTCTATATATTTTCCATACTTATACAATAACATATAAAGACATGTACTTATATAAACATATGTAAGATATGATTTGTTTTAAAAAATCAGATCATAACATACATACTTTCAAGCATCTTTTATTAAGATGTGGAAATTCCTCAATATCTTTTCCTTTAGCTCTAATTTCCTTTTCTTAATAGTTTTCTAATATATTTTTCATAATGGTCTATGATCTTTAGATATACCAGCATTTATTAAAACATTCTATGCATTCATTTGATGTTAGGTTTTTTTGGTTAGTGTTTGTTTTTTGTCAACATGAACAATGCTGCAATAAACATCTTTGTTCTTATGTCTTAATATACTGGTGCTTTTTATTTCTATGGTTTAGATTCTTGAGAATGGGATTGCTGGGTCAAAAAATATATTATTTTTATAATAGATTTTGCTGGATTGCTTTCTAAAAGGCTGTAATAATTTACATTTACACAGCAATATTGGAGGGTCCTCTTCTTGCCCAGTATCCCTGCTAGAAACTTTGTGTCATAGTGATTTCTGCCAGGCTGAGCAGCATCAAGTGATTATTCTTATTGTTATATTGATTTACATTCCTTAGTACAAGTGAGTTTAAATATCTTTTCGTGTTTATTGGCCACATGGATTTTTCTCTTAATACCGATTATATTCTTTACCGAATTTCTATAGGGTTTGTTCCCTTCTTGACAATTCGTAATCAAGTTTTGAATGTTACCCTAGTCAACTGAGCACAAAGAATAAGGAGGCTTTGGCTAGAAATAAATAATAAAGATTTATTCAAGGGTCTTAGGATTTGCAAATCATAAATGTAACTAGGCAATATTCAGAGTGTTTTGAAGAAAAAGAAGAAACAAAAATTGAGAGTTCTTATAGTAAAAAGTACATTCTTGAGAAGAATCAGTACTGCATTCTTAGCCTCTGGTTTAGTCCAAGATGATAATCTTCCAGATGTCCGGAGGTCTGGATAATGGATGTTGGGCACTCTGGATATGTAAAAATTCTTTTCTGTATCCTTCAGATGGTTATCAGAGGGTATCTATAGAATTTATATATATGTATATGTGTATACACATATACATATATATAATCTTCAAGCATAACCAGAGAGAGAGTTCTAGTTAAGTTCCCAGGCTAGTTAAAGCAAGAATAGAATCATTTCCTCATTCCTCAACCTACTTGGTTTAAGTAATTTAGCAGCTTAAGTATAGTGACTCCATTTTCTTTTTCAATTTTTCCCTCACTTTCTGTCCACCGAGTTGCAAATTCATCTCAAACTTATTTTCTATTGACATTGCTTATATATCTTTTTGCCATACAAAAAAATGCCTTTAAAACAAGTCAAATATGTACATGTCTTTCTTTTTTAACTTCCAGGTTTCTCGTCTTGTTTAAGGTCTCCCCTACTTCTATATTTTATATGTAATCTCCAAGATTTTCTGAAAAAATTTTTTATATTTCATTTTTTTACACTTGAGTTTTTGATCCATCGGGAATTTATTTAAGGAAAATGATGCATTATATGGATACAATTTCATTTTCATCTAGATGGATAGCCGGGGCTTCTATTTATAATTATTTCTCATCCTTCATTATTTCTCATCCTTTCAAGCATTTCTACGTTGACATGCTTTTAAGTATTAGTTTGATAGTATATGTATAGAATTTATGAATAAATAGATACATATACCTGTATTGGAACTACATGTTCAAAAACTTTTTTAAGCTGAAAGGGGTGCTTGATCAAAAAGTTTTGGAAACCATTGCACTAGACCATGAGCTCCTTAATGATGTTTTTCCTTATCTTTGAATCCATTGCTAAGACTGTCTCTGGCACATTGTATGTGTTCCAAAAATTGTTGTTAAATAATCAGATGAATGAAACTGCCATTGTCTGATGCATGTGTCTTAAGCAACACAGCCATTGAGAAACTTGACATTCCAGCTGTGTCCTGTGGCAAAATATCTGAGGCTAGAACAAGCAATGACTCATAATGACAAATAGTATAACTCCACTGGTCTTAAGTTCTTACATTTTTAATAGGAGAATAGAAATTCTTAACATCTTAAAGACTTCCCTGTAATCCATACATGCTTATGAAACTGGTAATTATTTTTTATGAATACATCCCTGCTTTTTAAAGCTAGTTATTTACTCTCTGTAATGGCAGTTTGCTAGGAAGAATATCTGTATACTTTCATGTCAGAAGCATGATTATATTTTGGATTGTAAACTTTTAAGAGACAAAGACTACTGAACATATATTGCAGACAGTGCCACAAACCTAACAAGTCATCAGTTATTAGGAAAATCTCAAATGTCTTTTCTCTTTCTAATGTACAAATTAACATTAGCAAAAATAGCAAGTTTACGCTCCTGGGTAAATGAGTTGTTTTTAATAAGAATACTGAATGAAATTTCATTTACTCAGTCACTTGGATTATATTTAACCTGATTGTGCCCTTTGGACTTTTATTTACTTTTTTTTACAGCTTTCTACATTTACAATTTCCTCCCCCGGCCCCGCCCTTTTTTTTTTTTCAGTTCCAGTGGTTGATTGTTGTAAATAAGGCTGGTGTTTCTATCACTGGACATTACCTTCATCTCTTTTTTCTATTTCAGACTCAGTGTTCACTTACCGCCACTCCCTTTTGTGACTTTGGGAAACAGAAACCCCGCCAGACTTGTTTTTGCTATAGGTCAAATGGTATGAAAGAGACTTTTTCTACTCTACTCTTATTTACTTCTTGAGCTTATTAGAAGGAAGAGAAGGATAACAACGAAAAAGGAGGACAAGGAATTTAGAGCAAAAGTAAACGTTTTGTTTTTAAATTCACTTACAGACGAATCAAAGTATTGGAGATGTTAGCATGGAATCAGTCCGGGAGATTTATTCTCACCCACGCTCTTTCTCCATTAGAGGGCTCTCGAATTTCCTCTGACTTTTGTATATGAGCTTCATGGCAGAATTAAACTGTAAAAGAGAATCCAGAATCTATTCAGTGAGGTCACTGAGGGCAATGGATGGATGTATTATGCTCAGATTGGCCTGTGGGCTTTAGATTACACTTTAGAAAAAAAATGTTTTAAAAACCTATACCTAAACAAACAACTTCAGTCACTGCCATCCATAAAACAAGTATATAAATCTTTACTTAGATAAACTAAATAGAAGACAATATTTAAAAAATACTTCACGACGAATTTGAGAAAACTCTTTGATGAGAAGTTCCTTTCTCTTACATGAAAAAAATCGTTCCAAAGTGGAAGTTACCATTTAAACAAAAAACTACTTTGCTGACTTTGCGTTGCTAGGAAGACAGTGGACATGAGAAAGAAATGAATGAAATCCAAGAAATGCCTAATATAGTGCTAATGTTCTTAGAAAAACTCAAACTTTTTTAAAAGATTATGAATTAAGTCTCACAGAAACGAATGAAATATTATGCAACTCCTTTATGAGAGCTGAAAGAGTTGCTAGAGAAAAAAACGTTCAACTTGAATTTCTGAATGCAGGAACGGAGTTCTTCCTAACATGGAACGCTGGGAGTTGTAGTCGGGAAAGTCCGACGATTTCTCTGCTGGAATGGAGTTTCTTTGCTTAGTGGACGGATAGGCGTTTGGTCCAATTCAGAATTCCTGGGTTTTCATTGGAGCCTTTCGTTCAACACTTAGTGCATTTCCCTAGATCACCAATGAACGCTTTAGTATAAGAAAGCCTTCGAGGATTGGGTGGTTTGTTCTCGCGTTGGAATACTATTAACCAATAAGAGGGCAGAACCGACGGATGTGTCAGGGTCACGGGGGAGAGTCTGTAGAGCTTTTTCCGCTGGCGCCCTGGCTCTTTGGCTTCTATAGTAAGTTTGCTGGTTTGTTGTCGCCGCGGCACCGGCTGTGAACCCAGGAACCCCCTCCGCGTCTCCGGGTCCCTCTACCTCATCCGTTGGTGTGATCCTGATGGTGCGGCAGGCTGTGGACTCCTGAACCTCTGCAGCGGTATGTAGGGTACAGGGATGTTAGACAAAGCGGTGGAGCCTGGAAGGCCTCGGAGAGCAAACCCTGCCTGCACCGATTGGGCGAATCGGCTTGGGCAGGGGCGCTCTGCCTACCTTATCTGGACCCAGCAGTGCGTCCTCCCCCCCCTACCCCCCGCTCTTTAAAGCGCCCTTGCTCCCATGTGTCCTGTAAAAGTGTTAGCTGTGCCCATTTCCTCTCCATCCCCGCAAGTCCGAATTTTACAAATCCTGGCGTTATTAATGAATGTCATCTCACTTTTTATCTCCCCAGGTGGTTCTTTGGTAACTTTCTATTGGTTTTGTGCCTACATGTCTACACTAAGAGCAGAAGGACCTGGTTGTCTGACTTCATTCAAGAGAGACCAGTGTTTACATCTCTGTATTTTAAGAACCGTTATTGGGAGCATTAGTACTGTTAGCAACTCCTTTCGAGGTAGTGTACTGACATGTTAGGGCGGTGCAGAACATACCCCAATATCTGGCGGTATAAAATCCCCACAGGAGCAAGTATTGTTCTTGTTTGGTAATTGCCGATGCGCTACTGTTTCATCTTAAATTCTTATTTTCTTTGATCCGGGGAGCCACTCAGTATTATTATGTGAGGAAACTGAGGTTCGAAGGAGGTAACCCAACTTCTCAAAGAGTTAGTTGTTAGTCGCTTAATTGAATGTGGATTTAGATTGTGCTAAGTGCCCTCTGCATTTCAGTATATGAGAGCTAAGTAATTCTTGTGAATTGAATAGTAAATGTTGGCTGAAAGAAAAGCAAATCACTCATCTGCCCTATTACAGATGTCTCACATCAACTTACCTAACTTCTAGCTTCTCAGTGTGGTTCTCTGACCCACATAGACCTCACCTGGAAGCTAGTTGGAAATGCAGAATTTCAGGCCTCACTTCACCTACTGAATCAGAATCTGCTTTTTAAGATCTCTTAGGTGATCTTGTTAAGAGTGCTTGTTAAAGTTTGGGGTACATTCATTGTGTTATAATGATTTGTCCAAATTGAACTAAACGAAAGAGAAAAGGTATGCAGTATGTCCATTCGTGTTCTAATAAGACTGGAGTTACAAAGAGGAAAAGTTTTTTTTTTCCTCTTTCATTTTTCTCATTTGCTAGTGGGGATATGATTTTTTAATAAAAATTAAATGTCTGTATTGGCAACTTTGCTTTGCAGTTTAAAATCTTAAAATAGACATGAATATTTAAATAGTAATTAAAAAGTAACTTGTAAGACATCAGATGCTGGTTTTTAAAAGGCTGAGACAAAAATATTAACTACTACTGCTTACAGTTAAATAAAATTTCAAGAACTTTCCGTTTACCCAAGTTTCCCACTATAATTTTCCCCCACAATTTTGTTTCATTGGTCAAGATCTTCCAGTCAGTTTCTTTGGCAAGAGGGGGTGGTTTTTCCAGTTTATTAATTTGATTATCTAGTAATAAAACCAAAACGTAGGCCTAAATTCACTTACCCGTCGTGTTATTCAGTATTTTGTAGAATTTTAGTATCTTGTAGAGTTTTACTGCTCAGGGTTTTATTCAGATGTTCATAGCCATGTTAAAAAGACATGCATTTATAGATCAACATAAAGTATGGCACCAGGAATCAACTGGTGTGCTTATTAAAATAAATCTTGGGCCCGACCTCCAAGAATTCCTTTTTAGGTCCGTCTTAGAATCTATATTTTAATAACACAGTTTATTCTGATGTATGCTATCCAGGTCCACACCTTGGCCTTAGAAAGCAAGCTTATTTTCTTTTGAATCTAATGCAGTACTCATTGTAGACAAAGGAAAGAGAAGAGAGGGCTTTTTTTTTTTTTTTACATTATAGTTCATTGGTTATTAAAAACATTCTTCCTGTGAAGGCTGATATTTTCATCAAATAACTTGAGTATTTGTGTGAAATTGATAGAATAACACAAAAACACTAAATGTATCTAATACATGAATGAGATTAAAGTTCTCACTTTTGCTTACCTGTTTCCATTTTCTCAGCTGTTCCATAGCTATCTTATAAAATCTTGTATGTGAACTCATCGATCCATAGAAATAATAGTCATTTCACAGGATTTAGGTAATTCTCAGAGTAATGATATCAAGAATGTTAAATAAATATGAACTCTGACACTGAGGAATTCTCTCCCGAAGTTTTACATAAAAACCCATTTAATTTAGGGAAGCAACTTGCAGCTTCTGCTTGCCTTTCTTGCCTTCATTTAAGTGCTGTAGGAAATGCAGTGCTTGACCATAGCTTCTGCCTCTGCTGTTATGTTAGGATACTTGATGCCTTGTGGTATTCCAACCTTTCACAGGCAGATCCTTATTTGAGCCCTCTCCTTATCAGTGGGCTTTGAACATTGAAAGTTTTAACTCTTTTGACTTTTGTTCATCTCGAACAGGTTTTTCACAGTCTTTCTCACTGAATAGTTAGTTCTAAGGACTCCTTAGGTGAGAATGGAGCTCTCCAGTTCCAAGGCCAGTGTTATATGCAAAAAACCATCACCCAGAGTATTTGGTTCTTAACTGTGACTTGGCTCTTGGGCCTTTGAGCCAGTAATTGGTTCTGCAGGTTCCATTTTGGATAGGGTCTGTGCTGGTGACAGCACGTAAAGCTCATGGGTAAACTGGTTTGTAAACAGGGATATAAAAGCTATTGATAACAGGAGCATCTAAAATGTAACATGTCCCCAAACCTTTTAGTCTTATCCTTATCCCTATGTATTCAGTCTATTGTTCTTTATAAATCTCTTTTTATTGCCACAGTAACTATAATGTTTTCACTTTGAGAAAACTACCTGTGAAATACTATCCTGTTGAAGCCTTATTTTCTCTGAGTACTTTGTTTTGCATTTGCTTGCAGACTTAAAAATTATAAATTTAATGTATTTTATCTGGAATATGATTCTTTTTTTGCCACGTGATATGTGTTAAAGAACCTTAGTAGTAGTTTTAAAACTGCTTAGAAGTTATTCCAATTTATTGAATAATCTTACTTTTTTTAATTGATTTTTGACTTCATTTAACTATAATTTATTGAGCATTTATTGTGTGCCAGGCACTAGTCTAAGCCCTTTACATGTATTTTTATTTCATTTGGACAATACACCTGCTATAATTAACCCTATTCTACAGATTAAGAAACTGAACAAAGAGTTAAATGATTTGCCTAAAATCTCAGTTATCAAGTGGTGGAGCCTGGGTCTGGCTGAGAGCTTACTTTCTTATATTGAATGTATAAAAAAACTTTCCTGGGAATAGAATCTTTACTCCCCCCAACCCCCAATCCAAGTCCTATTGCTTTACTTTTAATAGCTTTGTATATTTTAATACCTTATATGGCCAGTTTTACTTTATTTTCCCCCAAAATAGCTTTACTAGCCTTTCTGGAGTTATAATCTTGTTCCGGACCTCCTCCTCCAGTTGGCATTGTTGAAATTTGCATTAAACTTATTAATTTGTGAAAAATATTTACACCTCTGTATTCTTCCTAACAAGGAATATATTGTGTAACTCGGTTAATTGAAGTGATTAATTTTAACTTTCTGCTCATGTGAAAATTATTCTTCGATATTTTGTTTCTTTGGCTTTTGTATGTAACATTTTCTAAAATACCCTGTTTACTTTTATGGGAAAAGGATATGCTGAATTTAAAAGAACTGTATGGGAAGTAGAGAGACCGCTGACCAGTTTAGCAGATAGTAAATAAGATTGTAATTCAGTTCTATACTAACTTTTGTCACCTGGGGCAAATTATTTAACTTCTCTGTGACTTTGAAATGAATTACCAAATTCTATTTCATTCTTCTGAATATGGCAAACTCTGAGGTGGACAGGTGTGTTTAGGTTTAGTTAAGGTTCACCATGACCTTCCAGACTCCACTGGCCTGAGGCACAGGATGAGATAACCTTTCTGGTTTCTTTGCTTTCAGCCTTCTTTGACTCTCCTTTTTCCTAGAGGATTTTATTTTTTGCAGACACATTATGCTGGGTTTTGTTCATAGATGAATAAGAAAAACTGTCAGCCAGCCACTTTTCCCTGAGGTACTTGACTTAGGCTCCAGAAAACTTCAAGAGGAAAAAAGGCACTGGCAGTGTTACAATTTGAGAAGTGCAGCAAAGGTTACAAGCTTGCACTGTAAAGACTTTGTTTATTGTGGTGCTGTAGTGTTAAAATATGTATTGCTAAAAAGGAATTTATTGGAATATTGAAGATGACATATGTTCTTTAAACATTGTGCATACATAAATAACTTGAATTTTTTTTTTAAGTCAGCTTCTTATGTTCATTTTACTTGTCTTAAGCTGTGGAATTGCCAGTGCTTTTTCGTGATTTAGATTCATCTGTTTCTTTCTAAAGGTGTTGTAATCTTGATTATTTAACAAATGCCATAAAATAGTTCAGCAACCTAGAACTAATTTTGCAAACCGTTTCTACAGAATTTAAGAAGATTTTGTTCATGTATATGGTATAGAAGATGAATTCTTCCTCCTCCATCATGAATGAAGAACCTGATGCTCTGTCGGTAGTTAATCAACTACGGGATCTAGCAGCAGATCCATTAAATAGAAGAGCCATTGTCCAGGATCAGGGATGTCTGCCTGGCCTTATTTTATTTATGGACCATCCCAACCCTCCTGTTGTCCACTCGGCTTTGCTTGTAAGTTGCATTTACCAGTTTCAATCTTAGTGTTATAATTTTGCAATTAAGTAGAATTTGAAGAAGTGTTAGGTGACATGCTAAAAAATTAGAAATGACTGTAGAGGAAATAATAGTAAGTCTCTTTCTGTGTGGGCAAACATGTACGTGTCTAGACCTTTGACACAAATGGTAGCACACTACATGCATGGAATATTCTGCAACCTTTTTCCCTTAAATTTTAAGGATTATATCATATTAGTACAGATGGACACTTAAAAAAGCACTTAATTGTTTTGTTTTTATTTTGTAACAGTTTAATTAAGATGTAAATCACACACTATACAATTCAACTATTTAGAGTACCATTCAGTGGTTTTTAGTATATCCATACAGTTGTGCAGCCATCACCACTATCTATTTTAGAAAATGTTCATCATTTCAGAAACTACTCTTAACCTATTCCCCAGTTCCCTACCCTGCTTCTGTAAGTGGCTGCGACTTGCTATCTTTCTCTATTGACCTACTCCAGCAAAAATGCCTACATATATTTTATATGAATAGAATCATATATTATGTGGTTTTCGTGACTGGTTTCTTTCACTGAACATAATGTTTTCAAGGTTCATCACATTGTAGCATGTATCAGTACTTCATTACTATTTATGGCTGGATAATATTTCATTGTAGGGATATGCCATATTCTGTTGGCATAAATGATGAATGGATAAATTCATCAGTAGATGAATTATATTGTTTTAATATAAGATGGGAAGGAAAGATAAGGAAAGGAGAGGAAAATCAAAACATACAGGATCATAAATACATAAGGAATTATGAGAAATTGGGGGGCTAGAGAAACATGTTAAAGAACAACATAGGGCAATCAAGCAAATTCGGAATGTGATCATTTCTGAAGGACAAATAATCTGATTCCATAAACAATAAATGGCATTAAAAGGAAAGACAGTGGGGGTAGAGGAGAAGAAGGGATAGCAGTAACTGTTATAGATTAAAAGAGACTTAAGGGATGCATCAACCAGGTGTAATATGTAGACCTGATTTAGATCCTGATTTGAACAAATCAACTATAAACATTTTTAAATACCTTGAAATGTTATGGATCAGATAGTAGATGATATTAAAGAACATTAATACTTTTGCAGGGTTTTATAATAATATTCTCATTAAGTTAAAAAAAAAACCCATTAACTTCTTAGAGATGTACTGAAGTATTTACAAATAAAGTTATACTTTTTCTGAGATTTGCTATAAAGTACTCCAGTGTGGTTACTGGTAGGGGAGATAAATGAAACCCGATTGCCAAGTGGTTGATAATTGTTAAATCTGAATAATGGGTACACAGAGGTCACCACACATTTTCTCTCTACTTTTATGTCTTCTAAAAATTTTCATAACAATGTTTGAAAGAAAGTTAATATAATAGAAAATTTTAAACTCACTCTCCTTTACTTAAGGGCCCATGATTAATTCCCATTTAGTCTAATTTTACAAGTTCTTTCAGAAAAATAATCTTGGCTTTTCTTTTTCAAAAATTAGATTGCATTATATAGATTTCCCTTTTTACCTTCATAGAACGAAGTTAACAGGCAAAACAGACATCGACATTGCATAAAGGATGAGAAGAGTGTGTTGATCTAGATAAGGACTTGGGGTTGAAACAGGTTTTTTTTTAATAGACTAGACTTGAACCTGTTTAAATTCAGAAGGCAAGAGGTTGCTAGAGAGAAGTTTGAGAAGGCTCTCATAGTTGCAGAAAATGGGAAAGGTTGCTAAGAATGGTGAGTTTGTTCATAGGTGTTCAGGGGCTGATTACTTTGGTAATACTGAATGATATGATACTTATGGCTTATGAAACTCCTTTTTCATCCCCCTTCAGGCCTGCTGTAGGCTCTGAGGGCCAGATGGTTGTATTTGTTCAGGGCTGATTCTTGGCCAGGTAAGTTGGACAGAATGACTACGCTAGGGAGTTTAGGATTTTGGCAAGAAAGTGGCTGAAATGATAGATGGTAGGTGGTAGGCTGAATCGGAAGGAAAGTTAAGTTATGGAGGGACAGAGCTAAGGAGGAAGTAGAGCGATTGGTGGGTGAAAATTCCTAAAGAGGTTGAACAGATGTCGTGTTTTTATAATTTCACTTTATCTTCACTATTGGGTTATTAGCTATAGCCTTTTTTTAAAAAAAAAATTGTTTTTGTGTGGTTGCTCTAGATTTACAATATGCATCTTTAACTTATCACAGTCTACCTTTAAATAAAACATACACTTCATGTGTAATGTGAGAAGCATGCAACAGTTTATTTCCATCTCCACCCATCTTTTTTGCTATTTTTTGTTATACATTTTACTTCTACATATGTCAAAAAATCTACAGTATTTTTTGCTTTAAAGTTATCTTTTAAAGAGATTAAAATTTAAAAAATCAAATGTATTTTATATTTATCCTTATATTTACCATATCTGTCATTCTTCAATCCCTAATATAGATTCACATTTCTATTAGTGTCCTTTTTATTCTGCCTAAAGAACTTTAACTTTTTATGTATTGTGAGTTTGCTGGTGGCTTTTTCTTTAGTACTTTAAAAGGTATTGTTTCCTTGTCTGTCTTAGAGGATTTCTAACACGACTGTCATAATTCTTAACTTTGTTCCACTCTATATAATTCCTTTTTCTGGTTTCCTTTGTGACTTTATTACTGATTTTCAGCAAACGATAATGACGTGCAAGGATGGTTTCCTTGGGGTTTTGTTTTGCTTGGAATTTGTTGAGCTTCTTGGGTCTGTGGGTTTATAGTTTTCATTAATTTGGGGAAACTGTCTTTTATTATTTTTTCAAGTTTTTTCTGTCTCCTCCCTCTTACTCTACTGAAACTCCAATTACATGTGTGTTAGATATTTCATGTTATCCCACAGGACTCTGTTGTACTGCTTTTTTTTTTTTAAATTTTTTTCCCCTCTCTTAAGCTTCATTTTGGATAGTTTTTATTGTTACATTTTAAAGTTCACTGATCTTTTTTTCCTGTAGTGTCTAATCTGCTGTTAGTCTTATCCAGTGTGCTATTCACTTCAGATAGTTATGTTTTTGTCCTATAGAAGTTACATTTAGATCTTTTTAATATCTTCCATTTTTTCCTCACCACGTTCATGTCTTCCTACTCACCCTTGAGCATATGGAGCATATTTATAATAGCTGTCTAATTTCCGATATTCTCGTATTTTCTAATTCCATCTCTGTCATTGTTTGGTCTGTTTTTATTGATTTTTCTCTCTGGTTATGGGTCATATTTTCCTGCTTTGTATGCCTGGTAATTTTTAATCAGATGTCAGACATTTTATGCTTTTCGGTTTTCAGATTTTTTTGGTATTCCTATAAATTTTCTTGAACTTTGTTCTGGGTTGCAGTTAAGTTACTTGGGATGAGTTTGGACTTGCTCTTAGGCTTTGTAGAGTGAGTCCAAGCAGCTTATATCTTATGATATCCCCACTACTAACGGGAGGCTCTTCTGAGGATTCCCCCTGATTCCTCTATGCATGTGAGGTCTTTACACCTCTGGCTGGTGGTACCACAAACTTCCCAGCCAGTGTGAGCTCCAGGCAGTGTTTCTTTCCTTGGTAGTTTTATTTACTAGCCCTATGGCCTTTTACCCCAGGCATGTGCAAACTAATATTAAATCAAAGATTCTTGGGGACCCCCTCAAGAGATCTCTGGAGCGCTCTTGCTGTTGAGATTCCTCCTCTCTGTTGTTCTGCTTTGCAAAATCTAGTGCCTGAAGTGTGTTCTGACACCAACCAATTAATTCTCTGATCCTCTGTGGACATCAGCTGGTGTTTGACAATATAATTCAATTCTGACACTACCTGGTTTAAGGTTTAGTCCCACAAGACTGCTCTCACTTTAAAGGCCAGTCACAAGTATCAGGTCACCATATTTCTGACTGAACTGCCATAAATTGGGTGTTACAATGACCCTGTCCTCAGGTTTGATAATTTACTAGAATGGCTCACAGAACTCAGGAAGCCACTTTACTTATGTTTACCAGTTTATTATAAAGGATACACATGAACAGGTTCATAGGGCAAGGTCTGGAAGGGCCCCGAGCACAGAAACTTCTGTCTCTGTGGAGTTGGAGTGTGCCACTCCTTGCAAGTGAATGTAGTCACCAGTTTAGAAACTGAATTTCCTTGTTCAGGTGTTTTTATAGATCTCAACCCCTTCTTTATGAATAACAGAAGACACTCCTGCCCCTTAGAAAATTCAAAGGGTTTTAGGAGCTCTGTGCCAGGAACCAGATAAAGACCAAATATTTTGTATTATACTGCACCACACCAACATCCCCAACTCTGATCTCTGCCTCCCTAACTCCACAAGACCAGTGGGTTCCATCTGGGTACCCCCCTGTGCTACAGTCTAGAAACTTCCTCCAAAGCAGTGAGATGGGAAAATTCTAGGGCCAACTTCATCATTTCCCTTCTCTCAGGGATTACAGTACTGTGCTGCCTCTTGTCCAGTGTGTTTAATATCTGTTGCCCCGGTTATTAGTTTTTATGGAGGGACAGCAGTCCCATGGCAGTTAATCTTTTATGGGAGGAAGTGAAAATCGAGGTAGGAGTAGTTGCGGAAAGGATAGGAGATTGCAGTCAGAGATTGTTGAATTTGTGATTTCATAGATTGTATCATTTTGCATAATGACCAGGCACTTTGGAAATGGAGTATAGAGGACCAGTAAAAAATGTGAAGGTCAGTGGACTGAGATGGCAGTGCTTTGGATGGTGTAGTTCACGGAGGTGTTCTCCTGAGAATCAAGTACCAAAGTCTTCCATGAATGATGAGAGATTAGGAGGTCTGTAGAACAGCTAATGAAATCCCTAAAGAATTAGCATGTGAAGGAAATATGTGCAAAAATGTACTTTAAATCTTAAGAGGAGCTCCCTAGAAAAGTTGAACTCAGAAAATAGAAATTCGTGAGAGTGAGTTCTTTTACTTTTCAATTAAAAAAAAATAAGACATTTTAAAGGCGAATTGTAAAAATAGAAACTGTTGATTCCATATAAGTAGTTAGTTGTGTATTTTGTCCCTCTCAGCAGTTTAATTCATATGTAAAAAGCATCTAGGAAAATGATGGCTGTTGGGACTACGCCCTAAATTAATGAATGGAATATAGGTCTTTGTGTCCTCGACAAGATGACATGGTGAAAATAAAACCGGAACAACCTAGTTTTGACTTTGCAGATAAGTTGGGAACCTTCATTTCAAAGAGCAGATTCACCTACTCCAGCTGAAAGGATCATCTCTCCCCCAGGGGACTGCCTGATTATATCACACTTAAGAGTTTCTGAACACTTCAGAATCAATGGATTCTAAAAACGAAAACCTATTTTTCTCTTTTTCTCTTGCAGTAAGTTAGTTGTGGGTTTAATTTTGGGTAATCTGGATGTGGGAATTAACCTATTACTGTTTCTGCTGTAGGCTCTTCGATACTTGGCAGAATGCCGTGCTAACAGAGAAAAGATGAAAGGAGAACTGGGTATGATGTTAAGCTTGCAAAATGTTATACAGAAGTAAGTACAATAGTTAGTTTCCAAACAGAGTAGAAACTTGGATCTTCCTATTAAACGTATACTGGCTGATATATAATTTTACTGAAAAAAAAATTTTAAGTTATTTTTTTATGGTGGCATTAGTTAACGAAATCCAGTAAGTTTCAGCTGTACATTTTAACAGTAAGGCATATATATATTTACATTGTGTGTTTTGAAGTTTTTATTCTAATATAAGGGCATGCTTTTTGTGATTTATATGTCCAAAAAATGTTCTGATGGTCAGTGTTCTGATATTCTTAAACATTGATATTAATGGTTCTTAAGAAAATGCTCAAATTTTAAATGTTGATAAACATTGTGCTTATGAATATTTTTTAAAAAGAAAAATCCTACCTCGTGTGAAGTTTTGTTAAGTAAATTGATTTTCTAACAAAGCAACGCATTTGAAAATAGACAGTATTATAGTACAGTACAAAATTATTTTATTACTTCATCCTGGTCTTAAAAGAATCTTTATTAGTGTCATACAAAAAAGAGGTTTTAGTAAGGTTTTCCTGAACATCATTGAGAGGTCTCAGAGACTTAGAACTATTTAATTTGAATTTTAGCAAATGGGTGGCTTTTAATTGTATCTCTCATCTTATTAAGATTTTCATATCCATTGTTTCATTTTATTATTTATGACTTTCTGAGGTAGGTTTGACAGATAACAGTTTTATGGGTGTGGAAAATACAGAGGCCAAGTTACTTATCTGTGGCCCTTCAGCTGTGTTGCCTCTGGGGTTGTCTGGTTTGTTCCTTTCTTAGGCCTTGCTGATTTCTTTGTAGAATGCTAGAAATTGAAGATTCACTGTTTTGATATTTCCAAGAGAAATATCTAGAAGAAAAAGGTAAGCTTTCCGAGGCTTTCTTTTAAGTTTATTCTGTATCTTGATCTTGTACAGGAAAGGCTGCCTTTAAAATTATAATAAGTAACCACTTAATTTATTTGTTTTTTTTTTAAACTTATTTTGCAGTTTCTTTGGCTTGAGTGGTCACAAAAGTTCTTCTATAATTGCCAAATACTATAAGTTGAATTATATTAGTGGAGAATTATCTAAGCTGATTTCCAAGGCAGTGTTTTTTTGTTTGTTTTGTTTTGTTTTTGTTTTTTAGTGTTTTTGGCTTCTAGATAAATTTTATATTATTAATCTTATTTTTTAGAGATTACTTAAATATTTGTTCTCATGGGGTCACCTACCTGATAGGCTAATTCTTTGGTGTTTTCATCTTTGACAAGATAGAGACTGAAGTTCTTTTCTTGTTTTTATCAGGTGATCAGATAGGAATAAATAAAAGGAAATATTGACTGCCATCAACTGTGTTAATCCTTGCCTATCATTTGAAGTCAATTTCATTAGTGAAAATTTAGATTCTAGTTCTGACTTGAGACAGATCCTTTCTTTGCCCTTCAGTTTCCTTATCCATAAGCCTGAAATGACATCTGCAAAGTAATCGAGGATCCAATGGGATGATATATATAGAAATGCTTTGTAAATTCTCAAATGTTGTGTAAAATATGAGGTCACATTATTCTTATTTCCAGTATGCTTTAATGCCATATTAGTTAACTATTTTGGCACAGTTCTGTTGGAAACAGTGAAAGGTTTAAGCATAATATGGATGCTTCTGTAGGGCTGTTTTATTCACATGATGAACTTAAGGTTGTGTATTCCTTTACCAGGTATAGTTGTTGAAGTCGAAAATAGGTAGTAAAAATTTTTAAATGTTAGAAATTTGATGAAAAATTAATGTTGATTTATTAAAATAGACTTCAAATTTGAACTTTAAAGATATAGAGCAAGTTTTAGAGATATAAAATTAACCTATAAAACAACTTCTTGATTGTCTAAGGTTGTGATATGTGTGTATGTGTGTGAATATATATAAGTGAGAGATACATCTGTAAAACAGGAGACTACTTGTATCTTTTTTTTTTTTTTTTTAAGAGAAGTGGTATGTCAGTTGAGGTCGTTCTATTTGTGTATCTAGGAAGGAGATACTAAGGTAGAGTTAAAGCTGGAAAAGGTTAGTTGTGGGGTAAGGTCTGTAAAGATAAAGGAGGATGAAGCAAGATTAAATTGGTCTTTAGACTATAGGCAGATTGACGTCTGTAAAAGGAAGGTGGACAGGAAACGGAATGGGACAAGGAGTCTCAGATTGCAATGCAAGTCCGACAGCCAACTCAGTGGGGAGCTCCAGAGCTAAGATTACCTTGTAGGTGAGTTTTCATTAGGCAGAAATGGCTAGGCCTAAGCCCCCACTGCTCTGTCATTGTCTGGGGGCCGCCCTGAAAGAGCCAGGTTTTGGAATAGAGGATTGGAAGGTGGATGTGATGAATTTCAGAGCCATCGTAGCTGGTGGCTGTGCTACTGGACTTCCTGCAGCTGAAACGCAGATTTCTTTCTTAAAGGGAGATCCACGCAGTGTATTTCCATGACTGTCCCAAGTGGCTTTAAAATATAGCTTTTAGAACAATGTAATTGTTGCTGCCTCCTCCAGTAGTAAGACAGATGTACATTTGTATATTCTATTACTATAATTTGGTCCTATAGCCCTCTCAAATATGGAGATATAATGTAAGAATTCTTTTAGAATTTTGCAGCTCATTTGGCGATCTTAGATTTGAAAGTTGCCTTTCATGCTTTTTAAACGTCACCCACATTTACCAAAATAACCATCTTAGAAGTTTAGCAGTATAATTAAATGTTAAAAGTATGTATTTTGGCTTGTAAACCTCAAGACATGAAGTATTGGATCAGGCTTTGGTTCAGCACGTTTAACTTTGTGTTGTGAACTATCTCATGGCTTGGACACAATTTTTTTTTAAGAAATTAGATTGGCATTTTTATTATCTCTTCATTTACTTGTTTCTTTTGGGTACTATCTATTAAAAATTCTTAAAAATCAAAATGAAAAGCTTTTTTTTATCATACAGAGCAAGGTGAGTTTTATATACAGTAGTCTCCCCTTATCTGTGGTTTGGTTTTCCATGATTTCACTTAACCGCAGTCAACTGCAGTCTAAAAATATTAAATGAAAAATTTCAGAAAATAAACAGTTCCTAAGTTTTAACTCGTGCACCATTCTCTGTAGTGTGATGAAGTCCCGAGTCTGCCCGCATCTTCCTGCCAGGGCATGAATCATCCCTTTGTCCAGCGTATCCATGCTGTAGATGCTCCCTGCCCATTAGTCTCTTAATAGCCTGTCTCAGTTATCAGCGGTAGAGCACTGCTTGTGTTCAAGTCACCCTTAGTTTACTTATTTATGGCCTGAAAGCTCAAGAGTAGTGTTGCTGGCAATTCAGATATAGCAAAGAGAGGCCATAAAGTGCTTCCTTTACGTGAAAAGGTACGTATATATAGGAAAAAACATAGTATATATAGGGTTCAGTATTATCCACGCTTTTGGGCATCCACTGGGAGGGTCTCAGAATGTATCCCTTGAGGATAAGGGGAGGACTACTGTATGCATAACCGATTTGAAATTTTAAACATATATTCTTTAAACATTATTTTGTATTTTGACATTTGTGTTACCAAATACAGATTTTATTACTGTTCTAATGTAACTAGTATATGAACTAATTGGCATCCCATTTTTACATAAGTCACCTTGATAAACTGTAGCACAAAAGATCAGTGTTCTATCTCAAGATAATTGTTCTCATTCAGGATGGGATTCCTGTCAGTATCTCTCTTTAGGAGTACTGAATTAGGAGGAGAATTTAACTATGATTCAATGGAATTAAACAACTAAGGAAGTATAAGAAAGATCTTCCCATATCCCAGAAAGAGCTACAGAACAAAGAAAATGTATTGTGAAGGGATACTTTATTGACTGAAGAGAAACCTTCCATCTGGCAGTGGTCAAAGAGGAAACCAAAATAGCAGAAGTAGGTAGGGAGAGTGGAGGTTATTTTCGTGTGGGAAGTAGAGGAGAATATTGTATAAAATAGGGAAAATTCTGCATACTAGAGTTTTTGTCCCTTAATCACCATAATATGGTTTGCTACAGAATATTGCTGAGATTTTAACATGTTATTCAACAGCAGGTTTTACTTGTGTGGAGGTCAGATTGGTGCTTACAGATCAACAATTGGATTGACTTCAAAGTCACCGTTACTCTCAGTTTTTTATTTGTGAAGAGAATTTCAGGTTCTCTGTCACTCAGAATGAATCTGGCATTATGTTCTAATTTAAACTCTTCTATAAATAAAAATTCGTCATTAGAGGTTAGAACCTTTTTACATTTTATTTTAGTTCTGGATCCCTATGTGAAGAGAATTTTCAAAATGTCAACTTAGGAAAACATTTGAACCCAGTTGAAGACATTTGTTAATTGGTATTTCAGGAGTAATACTTCTGATACAAGATGCATTTTATAAAAGCACTTGTGAATATCTAACATGAAGTATACTAGAAATAAAAACCACTTTAATAAAATGTGGCATCGCAACTTTAAATTATCTCATTCATCTGGAGAACTTGCTAAAATTCTAGATTTTGAAACAGTGCCATAATAAATGGTGGTCTATTCTTCTTGCTAAAATCTTGGATGAGAAGTGTGTGCTTCATTTCTTTATGCATTTTTTCTATGTTCTTTTACTTTTTAAAATGTCATCTTAAATCTTATTACAAGTATGTGGTGTGTGGCTTATTTGTAAAAACTAGAAAATACGAAAAGGAAGAAAACCCATAATGCCGTTTATCTTTTCATTTAAATATGAATATATACATATACATATATTTTTTAAACTTTAGATTGAAATGATATCAAACTTATAGAAAAGTTGTAAAAAACGGTACAATGCCTTGAGACCCTACATCTAGATTCCCCAAGTTTTAACATCTTACCATTTGCTTTACCATTTAATATTTACTTTATCATTCTCTCTCCATACATGATGTACATGATGTTATTTAGTACATATATGTTCATAATTTTTATGTGTGTGTATATATGTGTGTGTATTCATTGTGAAGTATGTCTTTTAAGATTAAAAAGTGCCCTTTAGCATGTTTACTGCTTGGATTTGTTTGATGTTAGTACACAACCCCTGTTCTCGTTTCTATGTTTGCCCATTGCTTTATTTCTGAATCACTTTTTAAAATTGTCTTGTTTTGTGAGTCAAATTGAAAATCTTTTTCTTTTGATTGGTGAGCTAAGTCTGTTTATACTTATTGACTGATACCTTTCATCTTAACTCATTTTTGTTGTAGTTACCATGTATATTATGTTACAGTAGTTGTCTTTCTCTGCATGATGTTTTATTTTGAAAATGTCTTCTGATACTTAGAAAGATTTGTTTTATTGTTATAGTGGTTGCCTTTGTACTTATACTTTTAAAACCTGTTCTAAGTTGTCTGTTTTCTTGGTTAAACTTTTACTCTTTTGCTTGTTAGTATTTAATGAGAATCATTTTGACCCCTACCTATTATGCATTCTGTAGTCACTGAGCTTTTTCTCCTTTCCTCTTTCTTATCCCTTCTTTTTTTTAAGTTGCATTATTTCTGCTTTGTCAGAACATTTATATATTCTTACATCCTGTTTCCCACATTTGTCTTAAACTTAGATTTACAGTTAAATATATAAAATGTTCATCATCAGTCCTTCTGTTAAAGTTCTCCCAGTCATCTCTTGGTTGAAGCTCATTCTCTAGTAGATCGATCAAGAAAGACTCAAGTCTTCTATGAGTTCTTTCATATTTAATTTTTTAATATAACCTTGACACTCGAAGGACAACTAGACTGGATCTGTGGCTCACCTTTTGTTTTCCTGAGATTCTCAAAAATGCTGTTCCATTTTGCTTTGATATTTTATGTTTTGAGAAGCCTGATGTCAACCTATCTTATAAAAGATAGACAATAGTAATACAGTAAGCCCTCTCTTAACGTCCACATGTAATGACCAATTTTACCTTAGGCTAATTGATATAAACAAGAGTTAAGTTCCTATGGCATCTCATAAACATTATAACAAGATGACATTGAATAAAACGATATAATTCAAGAGCCTGCTGTAATTTACTTAATATCAGGAGCACTCTTCCATATAATCGTTTTCCTGCAATATCATTCTAAATGGCAGCAGTTCTATTCCACATCCTTTATAGTTTTTTTTCCAATGTCTTTTGTAATTACTTAGAACAGAGGTTGGCAAGTTTTTTTCTGTAAAAAGGCAGATAGTAAATATCTGTGCCTTTGATGGACAGACAATCTCAGTTGCAACTACTCAGCTCTGCCTATGTGGGTCAAGCAGCCATAGATGGGATGTAAATAAATGGGCTTTGGCTCAAGGATCATAGTTTCCCTGCCTTGGAAGTCATCGTTACCTAAACGGAGCTGTTGACTTCCTTCTTAGAACCCTTTTCAAGTTAGGATTTTTGTGTTAAAAGATGAGGGATAATTTTCTGGGTTGCATAAATGTTACAAGAACATTTTTTCTTGGCAATTAACACAGGGGGAAAAAATGCAAAACCAACTACAAAAGGTAACATGAAATTTTTAAAATAGCAAGTCTCTAACAGTAAAATAGTATATTAATTGCTTTCATGAAGTATGTGGAAGTCTTAACTGACTGTTATGGGCAATAGAAAATGTTATTAGCAGCATCTAGAATTAGAGTGAATTGCTGACCAATAAGGAAATATATTTATATTCAGAATGAAAATTATTTTTAATGTATAATAAAGATCAGAGTTCACCTTTTAGTTGTGCTTTATGAACAGTGTTTTGAATTTTTTTCAATATAGATAACTAATTAGAAAAAGTGGTGAGGAATCAATATACTTCATTATGGAATAGTAAATTACTGAGAGCAAAATTCCAATTACTAAATGAAAGAGCCTTTTAATATAGTCTTTTTTTCTGATGTCAGATTTTAAAGACTGAACTAAATCCAGGGCATTAATCAGCTCTTTTAATTTTCCTAAGAAGATTAGGGCAATTAATACTTGCTTAATTATACAGTGTCTCTTACATTTATGGCCGAAAGTACTGTATAACTCTGGACTTTTTTAAAGGGGAAGGTAGCTTTCAAATTTGCAGATGCTCTTGGATTTTTCTTTTTAGTTTTAAAAGCATATTTTTAATATGAGGAAATAATTATAATTGATTTGTTGATCAGCAATATGCATATTTGTGATACTCAAATAGTATCCAGATCAAGAAGTAACTTGGTTTGTAAATCATTTTTGCTTAAATGCTTTTGTAAATTTTGTAAATTTTTTTTGCCTAAGACAGAATTTTACTTAGTTTTAAAAGAGATCTGGGTCTATACATAGAGGTATTCTCTTAACTATTTCACAGGAAGACTAGCAATAAAGTTTAGTTCTGAGGTACACCAGAAGAACATACTTAAATAAAGTGAGATCGTCATGTTGCTTTGATTATGTTATCCTTTTAAAATCTTTTGGTTTTAAGTAGATAGAAATTGAAAATCTTCCAGAAAGAAATTTATTACTGTATGAAAATGATGAAACTTTGAAACTGAAATAAGGATGTTAAAAATGGCAGTGGTGGGAGTAGTTATTTCATTTAACCATTTTTGCTAATCTGTCATCTGTAATTGTTATATCTAAATAGGCATAGTCTGTATGATTCTATAGATGAAGTTAATTTTATTGTAAAATCATAATACCTGTATAGGGGGTAATTTTATTGTAAATCCTCAACTTTCTAACAAAGTATGAGTAGCCTCTGTAGCTGTACAGGCAGTCATAAATGTACATGTGTCAACTGTGCAAATTGTTCTTTTGAATAAGTGGCAGTTTCTCTCCTCTCTTGCCACTGGTATGGGAACCAGTAGAAGAGATTTATGAGAGAATTAAGCCCTAAAGCCCTAAGGAATCCATTAGATGTACAGATTATCTTTCCTGTGAATCTGGAATGGTTCTAGCTCTATAATTGAGAAAATAGTCATCCAGGTTTTTTTTTTTTCGTAGCTTTTTTTGTAGTTTTTTCCTCTTAAATTCATGAGTGCCTCTAACTAATGTCCTCATATTCTTTACAACTTGTGGTTGCCTAGTATTTAAAATATCTCAGAACTGCAGTGACTTCTTCAATAAACTGTAAAATAGTTATCGGAAAAGTGCTGAGACATCTAAAAAAAAAGGTCTTTTCATAGCTTCCTGCAATATAGAGCCAAAATCATTCAAAGTAATTGATGTTTGTAGTCAGCAATGGTGCCAAAAAAGCACCTGGCATAGTGAATTGAGAGCCTGGAAAATTGCCAGATTAGCACCCCTGGAAGAGAAGGTCTTTATAGCTAGGATGTGTACGGTTTGAATATCAGAAATTGAAGTATTCTCGCTCATTCAGTAAACAAATGAATTGCAAAAAAATTTTGTTAGGCTTTGTGGAAGGTACAGAGGGAATACACCCCTATTCTTGAAGAGAAAGAAATAGAAAATTAAGATCAGTAGTATACGGACAAGCATGATACTTTGAATTCAGAAGCATGAATGAGGTGTTGGGCAGAGGGAGGCTTCATAAAATGATGGGTGAACTGAGCCTTCAGGGGAGAAATAAGAGTTTGAAAGAGAGGCATTTATAAAAAAGGACACAGTGATATGTTGGTAAACCTTAGTTGGTGGAGGACAGATTTTAGAGGCCTTGAATGTATATGAAATGGTTTGGACTTAATTGAGGCCATTTATAGGTGAAATGAGTATTATTTTCTTATAGTTATGTGTGTACATATTGTTAATTCAGTTAATAAGAATCCTTAGATCTCTGCTGTCCAATTTGGTAGCCACTTGCCACATGTGGCTATTTAAATTGAAAATAAATAAAGTTTATTTCTTTAGTTGCGCTTGACACATTTCAGGTGCTCAATAGCCACATCTGAGTGGACAGTACAGATAAAAAAACATTTCTTCAATGCAGAAAGTTCTGTTGGACGGCATCTCACTAGCTGTTTATATGAGGATCTATAGCAGGATTTATAAGTTTAAGAATGAAAATTTTGTTTGAGTTTTATGATACATATTTCGTAAAAGACGTAAAAAATATGAATTAAGAATGAATCAGTTTGAATTTACTAAGAAATCTTTTTATTGAAATAACTCTGAGTGATCTTCGAATTTGTTTTCTCACTTTGGATTTTTATATTTAATTGAAGGTCAGAGTACTTTTAAATTGAGAGTTGAATGTGTTAATCCAGGGACTTGTTATAACCTGATCTTTTTAGTTGATTTCCTATTTAATTAACGATCTCGATTAAAAGTGCTTTAATACCATTGTAGTGATGAGTTTTGAATCTCAATGAACAATGGGTTTAAAAGAAAATGTGAAGACTTTATTATAGAGTAGGTACTTCTTCTGCATTACTGATTATTCTAGGATTCACTGGTATTTCTTTTAAATTGAACATCAGAATGAAATAAACAAGTCTTTGCAAACTTGAGGACTAATATTACAGAATCAGTAGAAGAGACAAGACTAATTTATTAATTCATATATTTCTTTTCAAGGACTACAACTCCTGGAGAAACAAAACTGCTGGCTTCTGAAATCTATGACATTCTTCAGTCTTCCAATATGGCAGATAGTGATAGTTTCAATGAAATGAATTCACGTCGAAGGAAAGCTCAGTTCTTTCTGGGAACTACAAACAAACGTGCCAAAACAGTGGTTTTGCATATAGATGGTCTTGATGATACGGTAAGACTTTACAAAAGGTTCTTAAGATGGGAAAGAGAAATATGTTAACTAAATAGTTTCCTTAGTGTCATCTGCTAACAGTCTTTAAGAATAAGTCCTAATATCAATATTTTATGCTGATAAAGTAGGGCATTTTGTGCTAATGGGGTCAGTTAATCAGAGGACATAATAATTTTAAATATTTATGCCCTAATAATAGAACTTCAAAATACATGAAGCGGAACTGACAGAAATGCAGAGAGAAATAGATCTACAGTTAGAGCTGGAGATTTGAATACCAATCTGTCCATAGAACAAGTATACAGAAAATCAGTAAGGGTATAGAAGACTCAAATACACTAATAACTAACCTAATTGATATTTATACAGTACCCCACCCAACAGCAAGATAATATTCATTCTTTCAAAGTACACGTGGGACATTTACCAAGATTGCCTGCCTGCCTCTCTTCTTCCCTCTCTGCCTCTATGC